TGTGTCTTCACTGCTATTTTAACCCAAGTTAAGAGCACACTTTTTTGTGTGCAGTGAATACATATGCCAAGTTTGTGCACTCTGGAGCAGAGTTGGGGAATTAATGAGGGATTTCTATTAATTGAGGCATTTTGCATAGCCATTGGTTCGTTCTGCTTTGGCAATTCTTATAGTTCTATTCCAAGCAGAGAGAGACAGGTCATGGAGATGGTCAAATCAAATGAAGTGATTGTGTCTTCTGACTGGTGCGAATCTGACCCTCAGAATGAGGCAGTTGTGACAAAGCTGGTGTTCTCTTATTTCTACTTTTTGTTCCCAAAGTATAACTAGCACTGGGCAGAAAAGAAAGGTTTTAGCAACTTATTTATAAAGATAGAATTTTTTTCAGAAACTCGTCCACTCTAATTGGATCAAAACCCACCCAACATTGCAAAATATTGAAAAAAAGGTTTTTTTGCAAAATTTTTCGCATCAAAATTTGGACAAGTAAAAAAAGGGTTTCAACCGGCTCCAAGTACTGGCCATGGAGCCAGATTCACTCCATGACTCCCAGGAGGGCACTTTCCCCTTACAAGTGGTTCACAAGACTTTGGTGTCTGGCCAACACACCCAATCCCAACAGACCCACAAAGCATACGCAAAACCCTTTGAGATTTTTCTGCCCTATAAATTAACTGCCCACAGTAGGTTACTACTGAGCCCAGGACTGGGACTCAGGAGAGCTGGGTTCTATTCCTGGCTCTGCTACTGGCCTGTAGATTGACCTTGGGCAAGTCACTTCACTGCCATGTGCCTCAGTTTTCCCATCTGTAAAATGGGGGTAATGGTACTGACCTCCTTTGTAAAGTGCTTTGAGGCTGTACAGCTCCTAGGGTCCCAGTCATGAACCAGGACCCCCAGTGTGCTAGGTGCTATACAAACAAAGGCAGCCCCTGTCCCAAACAGCTGACAATCCAAGTATAAAAACAACAGATGAAGACAGACAGGGATTCTGGGTTCCAGCCCCTTGCTAGGTGGGAGGGTCCTAGAGCCCGGGCTCCATCCCGAACCCCTACACCGCAATTAAACAAGCCCTTTGCCAGAGTCAGCTGGCATGGGCCAGCCACGGGTTTTAAAATTGCAATGTAAACATACCCTCAGTGTCTGTGCCAAAGTGACTCCTCGGTAACCCGGGGATAATACTTCCCTTCCTCCCACCCTGTGTCTCGTCTGGCTAGACGGAAAGCGCTGTGGGGAAGGAGCAGTGTTTTACCATGTGTAAGTAGCACACTGGGGTCCTGCTCTCATTTAGAAGCTGTGTGTTAGTAGCACCCACATCTCCCATTTGGTGCAATCCAAGGGAAAAGCATTTGCTCTTCCAAAAGGGACTCATGAACCCAGGGATAAGTTCTCCATCAGGGATGATTGAGTAATACCCAGGTGGCCATTTTACCAAAGAATCTCCCAGCACCTCACTTAGTCCACCCCATTCTATGATCAATGGCAACATAGTCCCTGTTTTCTGGTGCAAGTTTCACAGCTTGTGTCATCATGCAGTCCGACAATGGTCCCTTCTGGCCTGGGAATCTATGAACTGCTAGAAGGGTCATACCTACGATGTGTAGACACAAAACCGGGGCAGTGTTTGGGGCTCGTAACAAAAAGGGCTTATGAGTGGAGAGGACATTACTAGCCGTGGGGGATTCTACTCACCCACTCGGCCAGGGTGGGCCAGGTCCAGCCAGCACGTAGAGTATTTTCTTGTTACCCAGAGGACTTGTTTGCTGGTAGAGTTCAGGTCTGGTGAGCATTCAAGGCTCTGTCAGACGTGTCTTTATAGCCATGACCATGTTCAAGTGCAACTCCATGCAATGCTTTCAACAGCCCTTAGCCACATCCCTAGCTTAGGACCCGGCAGTTTACCGCACAAGCCAGTACTACTAGTAGTACCTAGTGAAGAGGCCCAGGAAGGATCACACGACAGGAACGACTCTGGCAAAGCCAGACGGAGGGAAGCGGATATATTGCCTGCCTGGTCCCAGCCAGTCTCACTCCATGAGAGCGATAGGTGGCCTCAAAGTTTACACACAGAATTGGAAACACAAGCGGAGGTCCTTACTTGCCATGTGGTTTCCCCCAGTACCATTCACCTTCGTACGCGGCGTTCTTGAATCTGCCCTCTGCTCGGAACACGTACTTGAAGCAGCGATGGACAGGAGGCTCGCTTCCCTCCCTGGCCTCGCCCCACAAGGGGAAATCTCTCTTCCCATTCAGCGCCTGGCGCACGGCTTGGTTCAGCTTCCACTGCCAGACTGCCTGGGGGCAACAAAGGGACCAGAGGATTCAGGCAGGAGGTGGGAACAAGCTACGTTCCAGGGAAACAGGCAGACAGCCACCAGCAGGGTCCAATATTACTCATTTATCTACCCACCCCCATGTAATCATGTTGGATCACTGCTCCCACACTAGGAAATTCCTGCCATTTACTCATCTGGGAGCTCAGGTTTCAAGTTGAAGGCCTTTTAGCACAACATCCAATAACCACAGTGGAGCATCCCAATCTGGATTTAGGCAGATACACGGCCACCTTATACTTCTAATCAGGACGTGAGCAAGGACTGGACATCCCAAGAATCAGCCTACGAACAAAAGGTGGCATCTGAGTGTTTTGCATCAAAACACAAGTGCAGTTTTTAGCATTTAAAGCATTTGATGTCTTCTCCTTATTCCAACAGCCAGGACGACCCTGGTATTGCACACAATTAATCTATAGAACACTGCTGTCACTTCAACTCACCTTCATGCGTGGCTCTTTGGCCGAGAGGAAGAACGCTTCTTCTGGTGTGACGATATGGATCGTATGCCTGCTAAGCAGAAAGGCAATATTAGGGAGGTGGGGAAAGGCGAGCGCTCTCTCTACAGGCAGTCCACAGCAAGACTTTACTGCCCTTTTCTGACTACTTCGTACTCAACTTCTGCTTTATGTGCCTAAAAACTCATGGTTCAGGGCATCAGCCAGCCACCTGCAGGGGTCAGGAAGGGATTTCCCCCCTCTTCCTCCCCACAATGTATACTGGGCGGTTTATCTCCTTCCTCTGAATCATCAGGGACAGCCACAGCTGAAGATGGGACACTGGGCAGGGTGGGCCAGGGCTCTGGCGTGGCACTGAGCATTCTCTCTCCAGTGCTTGGCTGGCTGGTTCTTGTTCACATCCTCAGGGAGTAACTGAACGCCATGCATGGGGTGGGAAGGAATGGTCCCCCAGGTCAGATTAGCAGTGATCTTGGCAGGGTCTTCTGCCTCTCTCTGCAGTGTGTGGGTCCCTCCTATTCTCTGCCGTTGGCACATGACAGTCCAGTCTCCTGTGGCCTACAAGGCTTGGGTTGTTGGGTTTGGTGTGGGGATGCTGGATGTGTTGGTGGCCTGTGACAGACATGAGGTCAGAGGATGATCTGACAGGCCCTTCTGGCCTTCAACTCTATGAACATATTCCAGAGACTGACCCAGCAGCCAAGTAATTGCCACTTGGATTCAAAGATTTTTAAGACCAGAAGGGACCATTCTGACCATCTAGTCTGACCTCCTGAATAACACAGGCCAGAGAGCTCCAGCCGCTAACCCCTGGATTGAGCCCAATCACTTAGGTTTGGCTCAAACATCTCTTCCAAAAAAGCCATCAGTCTTGGTCCAAAGACATCAAGAGATGGAGAATCCATCACTTCCCTTGGTAGCGTGTTCCAGTGGTTAAATCACCCTCACGGATAGAAGTTTGTTCCTTGTTTTTAATGTGAATTTGTCTGGCTTCAGTTTCCATCCATCAGTTCCTACTATACCTCTCTCCACTACATTGAAGAGCCCTTTAATGCCTGGTATTTTCTCCCCAGGACGGTACTTACATCCTATATCCGAGTTTTGTCTTTCGAGAAACTAACGAGATTGAACTCCTTAAATCGGTCACTAAGACATTTTATTATTGATGATTCTCAAACTAATCTGTAAAACCAGCAGTACACATCTGAACTTCCTGAGAACGGGTCTAAGATAGGATCATGAATAGCCCATAGCCAGCTCCTGCTCATGCAGCCACCAGTTAGGGTGACCAGACGTCCCGATATTATAAGGACAGTCCTGATTTTAGGGGACTTGTCCCGTGTCCTGACCTTACATCGGTCGGGACGCCCTTTGTCCCGATATCGGGGACCGTCCAGACCACAGCCGCGTCACCGCCGCTCATCACTTCTAGGGCAGCTCCCGGCGCCCGCCCACCGGCAGGAGTGCCACGTGCTGTAGGGGCGGGGCTTGCAGGCATTGGGAGCGGGCAGAGAGCCCTCCACCCCCCCACACCCGACCTGTGACCCTAGGAGCCAGAGGGACCAGCCTGCCGGATGCTTCCCGGGACAGGAGCCGCCCCAGGTGATCACTGCCTGGACTCCCCACCTCGCCCCCTGGCAGGTCCCTCTGGCTCTTGGGGGGGGGAGAGGAGGGCTCTGGGTGCTGCCAGTGCCTGCAAGCCCCGCTCCGCGACTCCGGCAGCTCCCATTGGTGCTTTTCCTAGCCAATGGGAGACACGGGGCTCCCGCTTGTGGCGGGCGCAGCACATGGAGAGTCGGGAGACCTCCCTTGCCGCTCTCACCCTAGGAGCCAGAGACCTCCCAGCAGGGCTGATGAGTGCGGCCAGGGAAGGGGGCAGGGTGCGATGGAGTGAGTGTCTGGGAGGTGTGTGTGTGGGGGGGTGCTGGCTGTGAGGGAGGTTTGTGTGTTTTGGGGTGCTAGACAGTGGGGGGCCTGTTGGGGGGTGCTGGAGATCTGTGTGTGTCAGGGCACTGGGTAGTGCGGATCTGTGTGGGGCATTGTATAGTTGTGGTGGTGGGGCTGTGGGGAAGGGCACTGGGAGGGAGGGGAATCTGTGTGTATCGGGAAACTAGCGAGTGCGGGGTTCTGTGTGGGGTGCTGGGCAGCTGTGGTGGGGCTGTGGGCAGGGGGGTGCTGGGTGGGGTGTGTGTGCACAGCACTGTGCATTTGTGGTGGAAGGATTGTAGGGGGGCTCTGGGCATAGTGGATCCAGGGGGCGCTGGGCAGGGGAGCTGTGTGGCGCAGCATGGGCCCACCCCCAGCAGGAAGGGGCAGGCTGGTAGCACAGGGCCAGACGTATCAGTGTGCCTCTGGCTCCAGTCGGGGCTGTGCACCTGTGTCTGTCTCTCCCCCCCTCACCCAATGTGTCCTGATGTTTCACTCTTGCGATCTGGTCACCCTACCACCAGTAAGGGGAAGGAGACTGGTCCCAAAGTGAATGATTTGAAATATGTGGCGTTGAACCTGTTTTCAAAGCGCAAGTATGTCACCTACTTCTCTGGGGCTGGCTTTTCACTGCCGGATCCGTCCACCCACACAAGCTTCAGATCAAAACTCTGGCAGTTGTTCCCCTAAAGAAGCAGACAGAAAGATGAGCAGTTTGAGAAGAGTGGATATTACATACCCAGGTGATCCAGGGAACAGACTTTCGCGTGTAGAGCTGGAGGACATTTTTTGGCTGAATTGGGGCGGGGGGGGGGGAAGCAAGGCAGATTTGGTAACTCCAAAACTTTGAGAATTTGTGTCAGTGTCACCAAGTTATTTGTGTCAAAACAAAAAAAGATTCCAGAAGTCTAAATGTTTTGTTTTGGCACCTTCTAAACCAAAATGTTTTGATTTCCCAGTTTTAAATGGACCGTTTTGACATTTCCTTCACATTAAGAATTCAAAATCCCTTACATTGCTCAAAATTCAAACAAAATGTTTCACTCAGCCCCATATTTTTTCCATTCCAGAATTGCCAGCAACCCAAAAAACCCGTTATTCACACAGCTCTAGTAGCATTTGACAGCAGTGCATGCATCCCGTGCGGCCCATCCCAATACGATTCCAAGCTGACCTCACGTTGCTCCACGCACGGATGTGGGGTAGGGTTAGCAGCAGGGGAAGCAGAGAAAGGAAATGCGTTTGAAAGGTGCGGTAGTTCTGGCTCAAACGCTGTTCCATGCTTTATTACTTAAAATTTTCCAGAGACTTTGCATTCAGTCCCGCAAGCATGTAACCACGTGCGTAAGTATTGGCAGATTGAGGCTTTAGACTAATCTCTTCAGTTCAAGGACCTCTCTCTTTCACGGAAAAAAAAAGAGCGCTAAGTACCAGGAGCGGCGCCAGGGTTTTTGGCGCCCTAGGCGGGGGTCCTTCCGCGCTCCCGGTCGTTGTCGGCAATTCTGCGGCGAGGGGGTCCTTCCGCGCTCCCGGTCTTCGGGGCACTTCGGCGGCGGGTCCCGGAGCGAGTGAAGGACCCGCCGCAGAATTGCCGCCGAAGACCCGGAGCGTGGAAGGACCCCCC